CAACATCAACATCAACATCAACATCAAAATGACCATCAGCCTCAGCATATACAATTGCAGCAGTTGCATCCTCTTCACCATCCCTATTCTCACATCCGTCAACAGCATTGCTCACATGCACACGTCATGGCTGCGGGCTCACCGGAGAATCGAGAGGCGGTACAAGTTTCACCAGACTCTGCGATTTCCGTCACCACCGACAACAGCAAATCCTTCGGCCTCGGTCAACATTACACCGAGTTACCCGGTTTCGGCTTGAACGACTGCGTCTCTGTGCTGGAGAGTCGGGGATCGAATGAACCGGCTGGGGGCCAGTCACTTCAGGAGAAGCGACTCTCCGCTCTCCTCACTTCGGTACGTTTGCTTATTCCACCCAACTGTGCCACCCCTTAGTGTGATTAGTGTGATTTTGGGAGAATTGCATTTCGTGTGAAAGTGCTTGATGAAGAGGTTCATCGGTTGATTTCGCCGGAAGACGACGGCTGAGTACGGCTGTTCCGCCGCCGTTCGGCTTCGACACGACCTTCAGATTGAGGCAGTCCACTCCCTCGTTGTGAGTGAAAGTGGTATGAGCATTCGTCTGCCATGCCACCACATAAGAGACATCGTCAGAGCTGGAATTCATTCCCATTATGGCTTCAAATTAACACGTCAAGAAGTCTATCCAGATCTATCCTACATGCTATTAATAGTCATAACTAAAATCTAAAAATATATAGAAATTAATTATCTTTAACATCAATCAGGGCAAGTATATTTGAGGGTGCTCGATGCCGGCATAAAAGTGCCTAACTTCAGGTCCGAGCCATTAAGGCTTAGTGACGCAAGGAAAAAGAGATGAGATTGTAAAATCTATAAAGTAACTCTAGTTGAGATGTAAGCCTGCATGTGTGTGAGTCAGGCTACGAAACCAAAATCATAAACATTCATCGCAACCCAACTGTATATTTATATATAGTTGTAGTCATACTGGTATGCACGTGATGAAGGACTAATAATAGAATTTTATGAAATGTATTCACCCTATTTCGTTTCAAGCGATAAACAGGAATAAAGGTTGTGTGAAATTCAGCGCAAGCCTCACCTATATTCATATTATTGTGGAAAAATTCAATAATCAGTCCCTCATCAAACTAAACGAAATAGGGGGAATATATCTCATATAACTGATCAACTGGTAGTCTCGAAATTCTACTCGTAAACGAAAAAGGAATAATTACTTTTTCCCAAAATGAGCTGGAGAGATTTCATGTTTCAAATGCAAGATTTCCCAAAAAGTATTTCCAACCCAAATGGACTCCAATTTTGAAAGGGAATCGAGACCAGGTAGTACAGCTTCCATGTTCGACATCTTATCAATATGCCATACTGTCCCGAATGCAAGTGAATCAGAGAGCTGGCATACTTTTCAAGGCAAGCCAGGCCTTCTAATATCACATTTTTGTGTGTGGAATTGTTGATGAAGCAAATGTCAAATGTACGCAATGCGAGCAGGACCAAGTAAATTCAAGAATTGGAGGCTATCTCAAAATCTACTTAAACGATAAATAGTCACAAATATTTATAAACATTGTGGCAAAATATGCATACATAGAGAAAGCCGGAAAAGCTTTTTTACTTGTCGTTTTGCCTTCGCAAGAATGTCTTCTAGCCATGACGACATTCGTTAAGTGGCGTGACGGACGAGAGCTCAGCTCGTTTTTACTCGCGGCGAGCGAGAATGTTCCATGGACTGCTACAACTTGAAGATCGTATTCAAGCCAATCGACTGCAGAACAATGGTAATCAGACTTCATTAGTTGCTGAGATCGCCGTAAAAATCTCTTTATCATGCATTTTTGTACACCATAAAAGCCTCCACAAACGTGCCTAAATTTATCATTTGCCCACGCTTCTAGCTCCGTCAAGAAGGTACTTTGCTCATCTCCATTTTCAGGCAGTTCCAGCTAACTAGTCAAGAATTTCCCATTTGTAGAATAGGGTAGGATCCATTTCGATGTATGCCAGCCCGGGCCTCAAAGCGAGCGGTCACGAAACTGTCTGTTAAATCGAGTCGGCTAAGTTTGGCTATCACCAACTGCGTCGTGTGGATGCAGATCATCGGCAGTATGCAACAAATGAAATGTGGAAAATTTTAGTTCAAAATAAATATCCGAAAGGATTGTTTGACATTACTCATTACTCATAAGTAGACTGGAGGGAAATAACTATTTAGGACAGGACAGACAGATAGAAAACTCTGACCGTTTGTTGATGTTGCTACCATGTCAACTTTACAAAAATATGGCTGAACTACTGAGGAAGTGGAACATCATAACAATGTATACAGAGAGACTAACCCTCGCCACAGTTATGTATTTGTTTGATAAGTTTCTGATTCTCTTTCCAGGCCTGGATGCGTCTAGGATTTGTGCACATGGATTAGTGTCTATGTTGAACTATACTTAAAGGGTTATTCGAGAAAAAAACCACCTTCAAAGGTCTATGAGTCTGAAAACACTCTTAATATAGGACAAGAAATAACATTTTGCAAGTTACGGGAACTTCACATACGAGTTTATGAATAGAGAGTGTATAGAAATAAACAAGGCAGACAACATGCTTACTAGGAGGAATGAATGTATGAAAGTGGGCAGAAGCTATTTGTGACTGTTGAATTGACTTTTTGCGAGACAGGAGGCTGGGGAAGAGGAGGAGGCTTGATTAGTTTCGAGTGTGATTAAGACTCTTAATTTTCGAATCACTGCGACTGCATTGGCACAATACACAATATGGTGCATGTAAAAACATGGGATGTGTTCACTCTGTTTTACTTAAGGTGATAAGAGTAGTTGCATTTTACCAGAATTACATGAGTGGACATTACTTTTCCAGTAAATTTCACATAGACTTGCTTCTCAAAACGAAAATCCGACTATCAGTCCTTCATCAACTTAAAGTAATAGGGTGAACATTCCAATTATATGATTTAATAGTGCTCTCGAAATGCAACTTACAAAGGAGAAGTATGTAAAAAATAATTACAGGATTATAAGATTACTTATTTAGGCAAGAAAAATACTGCCCCTAGATCCATTTTCTGTCTATCCATCAACCATCCGCATGTACAAGAATGTATGTTAGGCATGAAATGGTCTTATTAGGATTTTAAAGTTTGGTTAAAGAAGTAAGAGTGTGTAGAACTGGTGGCCAGACAAAATACAGGGCCAGAACTGAGTTCACTTTATTTTGTTTGGGGTTTCGAATAACTGGTAGTTGAATTTTTCCACAATCATGTTTCCGTTAGATTTCACATAGTCCTGCTCCACAAAATGTTTTCTCATCTCGGCTGTAGTGAATGGCCCACTTTGAAAAAACTACTTTTAAACGAAAATAAGTAATATTTTGTATTATACCATCGAGTACAATATTGCTTCATCGAAAATTCCACCACAGAATATGATATGAGAAAGGGCCTGGCCTTTCTTCAAATTCACACTTGCCCTGGAATCCGACGGCCCACGTGGGAGTATGGCGTATGGCTTGACGTGTCGAGACTATTCGCTTCAATACCACCAACCGAGTTTGAGTCGCGCTGCGGGTCCTGATGAGACCATTTAAGGCGCGATCGCAACTGCAGTCTACTTCCGCTGGGATGAGAATACCTTTGGGAAATAAAAGCAATAGAGAAAGGAGACCTACTCATCTCTTCGTGGGAAAAACATCCAACTAACAGTCGCTTCCTTATCATCATAAAGTAAATAAGGGGAATATTGCTTTTTAATAATGCCTATCGGTAGGCTCGAAAACTGGCTTGATAAGAAGATTACATTACATAATCCAGCACTTCACACTCCTTCTTCGGTTTTTGGTGTGTTTAATGTACGCATTCTTCGTCTAGAGTAGGGTTTCCAGACTATCAGTAAATCAGATAAATGAGAAATGCTCATCCTATTTCGTTTACGATGATAAGGAACGGATAGTTAAATTTTCCTACAATCATACAAGTCGACATCACATTCCCATTCAATTTCGCATAGCCTTGCATTCCCAAAAGGTATTCTCATCCATATTGGAGCAAGACCATGTGAAATTGAATGGGAATGTGATGTCAACTGATATAATTGTAGGAAAACTCAACTACAAGTCCTTTATCACCTCAAACGAAATAGGGTGAATACAGGTCAACCCACGAATTCCTTCTAGCCAACTTTTGCTTTAAAATTAAAAGTCATGTGACAATAAATGAAAAAAAGAATACTTCGAGCCCTTCCTTTTTCTCTACATAAATAGCCTAGAATTTCCCATTCTCAGAATGC